CCGCGGCCGCCGCCGCCGCCGCCGCCGCCGCCGCCGCCACCACCACCACCACCACCACCCAGCTTGCTAATTCTTTATACCCCTAGGATGTAAGAAACCCATCTTCAGCAACCCAACATCTTAAACTCCAGTCACAAACAAATCTAAGGGTTATTCTTCACTCTGAAAAGCCACGTATCATGAGGTTCATTTAGCAGCAACACCACACTTAACCTCACTGTGTGGTTGGTACCCCTCACACAGCCTTTCAGAACTAGAAGCTTCTAAGCCCTGAGGGAAGCTCAGTGACAAACTGTGAGAGCTTGGTGGTGGGAACTGCTAGGTGCCCTGGAGGGTCCCTGCCCTGGCATCTAAACTGCCGTTCCTCTCCTCTGGGCCAAGCAGGGGCCTCCCACTCCCTGCCCCGTCTCACTACCTGTTGCCTGTTCTCTGAGGCCCTTGTCCCGTCTGATGGAGAGGGTACAGATCCAGTATGTGACTCAGCAGCAGTAGGCTTGCCCTGCACATGCAAGGTCCTGGGTTTGCTCCCCCAAACCCCCCAAAACAAGCTTCCTCTCCCTTGCTCAGAGATTTCCAGTGTCTTCCCATTTCCTTGGAGTAAAAGACCTTAGCACTCAGTTCTGCACCACCAGCCCAGCAGAGCCCCAAGGTCCCACCTTGGGGCTCCGTCTTTACAGTTCCTGCTGCCAGCCACCTCTTCCTCTGGAGGTCCTGCCCTCCCGCCGACCCTCCCTCCTTCCTTCAGAGTTCTTCTCAAGGTCACTTTACCAGACTACCCGACTTAGACAGCCCCCTCCTACACTCTCTCCCTGCCTGCCTTATTTTTCTCCAGAATATCTACTACCTGCATAATTGCGTATTTTCGCCTGCCTTTCCTCACTAGAATGTAATCTCAACAATGTCCCTGCTGCTCCTCAGTTCCTGGTCAACAGCAGACACTCAAGTCTTGCTTTAGAACGTGCGAGGTGCTCTTCTTGGGAAGGTGTGTGAACCAGTTTACTAATCTGCACAGTAATTCAAGATAGGCATCATCATAGTCATCACCATCATCTCTAATGAAGAAATTAAAGCATGCTACTATCAGCAGTAAGAGGCAGAATTTGAACCCAGGACACCAGCCCTTTATAATCCCCTTGATTATTGCACCACTCTTAGCTAATGGCAAGCAATCACTTTGGGGCTTTTCCCTATACTAGAGTCTTAGAAATTCAGATAATCGCCGGGCGGTGGTGGCGCACGCCTTTAATCCCAGCACTCGGGAGGCAGAGGCAGGCGGATCTCTGTGAGTTCGAGGCCAGCCTGG